TGCATACGATTAACACTATCCCATATGACCCTCTAGTTTCTAGTGATTTAACATTCCAAGGTAGATGCTGCACCCAAACTCTCATTTGGGACCATCCTTCATTAATTGGTCTAATTTATTTTGGCCCCACTATATACTATGGCAATGAGATCCACCACTGAATTATGTGCTAAGAGAAAAAGTATTTCCTTTCCTGTAAGTTGCTCAGTTTCATAGAGGGACCCTCATTCTCAGTCCACAAAGGATTATTCATGTTCTCCACATCATTCACGACTTTACCTCTCTTATAACCCACCCGCAGATATCCTTTTTTCAAGTTGAAAAATAATAATGCATTTAATGTGTCCTTATATAGCAGCCAATCATCCTTGATACCTTCTCTTCTACTTTCAACCTAACATCTGAGATGGGATGATCCTACAGGCACGCAATACGCAACATATGTTCACAGAACGTTTTCAAAGACTTATCTACAGTGTCCCCCCTAAATGTTTTTCCAGAGCAACGATAGCTACTTTACAACTCGTCATTATGCATATACAGCTGGGGTCACAGTCTTACACGTATATTACTTTGCACTGCTCAAAGCCTTCGAACCAGAGCCAAACCGAGAAGCACAGAATATACTTTACCTGATTATTCAGATTGTAGAGGTAGCGAGATACAAAAACATGAATATTTCTCATAATTTCCAAAACATCCAGACCCTGAAACAACATTATCTATTGAGAAATTTTATCACAGTAATTCTCAGTAACTACTGAGATGCACAGCCATTAAGATGTGTAAATGCTATTTCTATAGTTTCTTGAAAACATTCTGGGAAGCAACATTTTCCCTTTTCAACATCAAAAATCTCTTCACAGTTTCTGTTCAATGTTTATAAGATGTCATTTAAAAGAACAAGAAAAAAAGCAGCTAAGCTCACATATTTAAATTTATACTTTACACTTCTGCCTTTTTCAACTTCCCCTAAAAGCAAGAGATCCTCAGGTCTATTGGGCAAGCAAAAAAGGGAAAAAAAATAAAAAAGAAAAAATCCAAAAACAAACCCTGAAAAAAAATCACTGTTCTCAGTTTCAGAGATTTCTGTGACATAAATATATAGCTATTTTTGAAATTGTTTTCTTCACCCTGTCTAGAGCACTGAAATTTTGTATTTACAATATAAGTTTGACAGTTCTTTTGTTCAATAAACTGTTGAAGGTGTCCCTCTAGTATCACTAGGCATAGAAAAGATACTATTTAGTCTAAACACTCTACTTCCAACTGTTTCAAGAATCGTATCAGGATTTTTCTGTTTTCTCGTTTTCTTTCTTTGTTTTAAGGTAAAGCTTATACCAGGACGAATGTTATGAAACCAAAATATTGTGAAATGATTCAAGTTCTCTGCAACACAATATGATGTCCAAACATTGCTGATAGAAAGCCAAAGCGAAAGTAAGATAAACTATAATGAACTGCACTTTTGTTTCAATAAGGAGAGAAGTAGCCAGAGTTTTAGTTCTCTCTATTCCAACTTGGGAAAGAACAGCCACTGTGAACATGGGAAAGAGAAATCTGTGCATCTACAAGCTTTCTCCAGCAAATGTAAAAAAGCTAACTACATAAGACATCCAATATACTAAAACTCTTGAAGGAAAATCTTCATAAATACTTAGATGGTATTTCTTTTGCACCCATCCTCTAACAGCCAATACCTTGACCATTAACCTGATGAAACGTTAACTGTATTCTATATGTAACCATGGTCAGGAGCGTCTAGGAGGCTCTAGGTCACTCTCCTATTAAGCTAAATAAAGGCGTCAAAGTCCTGGATGCCCAGCCTGTAAAACACAGCCTCTCTTGGTCACTGCTAGGCAGGACCTGCTGAGAAGCAAGTAATAAAGCAGGGAAAGTACTAAACGTGATGTTAAAAACAAATGAGACCTCACAAGTGCAGTATGAAATTAACTGATACTGGTTCTAAGTATTTCCAAAGAAAAATAAGGCCCCGTCTCAGAAGCCAACCAGAAATTAGAGGCTGCTTTTTTCCAACAGTTCTCCAAGTTTCATTTAATGATCTTTGAACAGCTATCTAATATGACAATGCAAGGGCTCATATCATATTCATATCCCGTGGATACTGTACCTGTTCCAAAGTCTGGCTGGGAAGATGTGCTTCAGTCATACTTAAACCATATCGTTGAGTTGCTAGGTTTCTCATTTCACTGTAAGTAGCCCAGTCATGAAGAGCTACAGTTGTTAAGTTGTAGAAGGTCTTGTCCAAATAGTGTGTCACATAAGCTTGTAAACACATGAAAGGATGAATTAAAATAGCCCTACATATACATAAGTGTGGAAAAAAGTAAAACGATATAATAAAAACAAACTGTAACAGAGATAAAATAACGGTATCAAGAAAACGTATTACAACTCACCTTTTATGTCAATGAAGCGATTGAAAAAACGTATTGGGTTCAGAAAGAAGAATTGAGCTAGATCCTTCATACCAACTCTGAAGGGATTTCTGTCATCAAGTTTTAGGTGCGTATGAACTGATAAGCGTAGGTCCTTTTCTATCTCTTTACATAATTTGTCCAACAGGTGCTATGTAGGGAAGTTTGAAAAATAAAAATGAAAAAAAACATTGTCAGCGTCCACGCACAGTGTTCTGTTAACAGAACTAGCATCTCTCTCCAACGCTGTATAAAAGACTGATTAAACTAGTAAAGACAGCTTTGCCTCAGCAGAGACACACAAGTTAAAGTAAAATACTGCTTCTGAAGGTAGCAGTAGCTTCAGAAGGGTATTTAATTCCTGTGATCCTGTTCTAGTACCCAATGGCAAGAAAAAGTTATAAAGCTCATATAGCCATCCAACTCCATTCTCTACATAAATACAACTTCTACATAGGCATTTAATACAATTCAAATTTAAGTCTTCTCACTTACATCTTAAGGAGAACCAGACTTAGGGCTATTTATGTAGAGGAAACCCTCCAAACATACATCTTGAAAATAGTTCACTGATGAAGTACTTTGCTGTAGCAAAAGAGGCGCATTATGACCTCTTAACTAGAACTGGATGAGTTCAGGAACTGCTCAAAGCAATTAAAAAAAATGCTTAGCACTCAACAGGCAATGTCTCTCCAAATCCTTCCTCACACACATAAAAGCAATATTTTTAGAACAGTTTCTGGGTGAATTAGTCTCCTATAACGATTTGTCATAAAAGCACGGTTTTCTGTCTACATTTGAACACACATTCTATCCCCTAACACACATAAGCCCTCCAAATACAGATTCAGCAACTTATGGACACCAGCAAAATTCAAATCATATTCTGCAAAGCAAAGCACAGACAGAACTGACACTACAGTAGCAAGGTAGAAGGAAGCCCTTCTTCTCTCCTCACCCCTTTGAGCCTATTTACAGTCAACAGTTTCAGAACTCTCCCTTTTCCCTGTGCTTGTTAGGTATGCGTATCCTTATAAACCCCAATTTTAACAGATGGAGCAGGTTTCCAATAAGATCACAGAAAGGCCTTGCAATAAGTAATTTGGCCTGATTTTCTGCAGAATATGCAACATTTGTTTTTGAACTAGTCAGACAAAAAGAATCATTCTGAGGTCAAGACCTAGGACCTGCGAAAACTGAATTCACATTTTCAATCTGTCAATTGTCAGAGCGATTGTAATTCTGCACAATAACTCCCTCAAGAGGCCACCTACGTTTATGTTGCCTCCACTAGTAAAAGTCCTACATATATACACTACCAACAAAAGTATGTTTTTTCTGCGTTCACACAAGCAGAAGCTAATCTGACCAAAAGCACTATACAACAAGAGTTTTTGCCAGCTTATCTCATATAATTGAACAGCGCATCCTGGAGGTCATCACTAAGCATCTGGAGGACAAGAAGGTGATCAGGAGTAGTCAGCATGGATTCACC